CTAGTTGTTCTTCAGTCTTAACATAAACTAGTTCAACTGTTCCTTTTTGCACATGATCTCTAATGAAATGATGTTTAATCTCTATATGCTTAGTCCTAGAATGCAAGACAGGATTTTTAGAAATTTTAATTGCAGGAGTGTTATCACAGAGTACAGGAATACTACTTTCATAAATGTCGTAGTCTTCTAGTTGATGTTTGATCCAAAGTAGTTGCGTAAGACACTGTCCTACGACAACGTACTCAACTTCACAAGTTGATAAGGCAATCATGATTTGCCTCTTACTAGTCTATGAAACCAAGCAGCGACCAAGGAAATGACATCCTCCACTAGTGCTTTTTCTCTCCCATTTGTCTCCTGCATAATCTGCATCACAATATCCTAGAAGAGAAAAATTCTGGCTTCTATAGAAACTGATGCCTAGGTTAGGTGTTCCTTTAAGATATCTTAAAATTCTTTTAACCGCTTGTAAGTGTACCTCCTTAGGTCGTACTTGAAACCTAGCACAGACGCAGACGTTGAACATGATGTCAGGTCTTGATGCTGTTAGGTACAAAAGAGAACCAGCCATTCCTTGGTACATCATGCTATCAATGTCTGGTGATTCTTCGTCCAAACCAAGAGTAGTTGAAGGATGCATTGGTGTCTTCATTGGTTTCGCATCCTCCATCTTAAACTTTTGTAGTAGTTCTTTTGTATATTTCGTTTGATGAATTTTGATTCCTTCATCTGTCTGGACGATTTGGAGTCCTAGAAAGAACTTTAGTTCTCCCATCATGCTCATTTCAAATTCATCCTGCATAAGCTTGGAAAATTCTTGGCATAGATTTTCATTAGAAGCACCAAATATTATATCGTTTACGTAGATTTGGACTATTATGAAATCATCTTTGATTACTAACAGGGTGCTGTCAATTTTGCCTCTTATAAAATTATTATCTGTTAGAAAAGAGCTTAGTTTTTCATACCATGCACTTGGTGCTTGTTTTAATCCATACAAAGCTTTGTTTAGTTTGAAAACATAAGATGACAGTAATTCTTTTTCAAAACCAGGAGGTTGACATACATAAACTTCTTCTGAGATTGTTCCATTTAAAAATGCGCTTTTGACATCCATCTGATATAATTTCATGCCAGTACATGCAGCAAAAGTAAGTAAGATTCTAATGGCTTCTATTCTGGCTACAGGTGCAAAGGTTTCAATGAAGTTTGTACCTTCCTGCTAGATAACTACAACCTTGAAATGAAGTTAGCGGAAATACACACAGAAATGGGGGTTGAATATGTGTGTTTGTGTTCGAAGGAAGAATTTCTAAAGTTGCTTCGCAAGGACAATTCCTAAGTTGGGTGTTTCAATCTTGGTTAAAAAAAAACTTTAGCAAACTTTTCTGTCAGTGATTTTTCTTTTTTAACAAAACTGATTTTCCACTTCAAGAGACAAGTTGAGTAAATTTGTTTTTCGTCTAAAAGGTTTTATCGTCCAAAGAAAAAATGTTTCTCAGATTCAATGATCAAGTGGGTTTTCGTCTAACAGTTTGTTGAAAAAAAGGTAGATGAAAGGCGAAGTAAGTAGTGTTAAAAACAATAAACTATACACAGATGTTTATACTGGTTCACTTAATCTGAGCTACGTCCAGTCTCCTTCAACTGAAGGGTTCCACTAATCACAACGGATTATAAGTATTCTTAACCACTTCTAGCTCGTCAACTTTGACACTAGTATTCTTAACCACTTATGGTTCTCCAAGTATTCTTGACCACTAGTGCCTCGCTAGCTTCACTCACTACCGCTAGTATTCTCAAACCACTTTTGGTTTACAAGTATTCTTTCTACTAGCCTCTTCAGGCTTGACAGCAAATAAGGGTGTTGAGTGTGTTTGCAACTCTCACAGAGAGGATAGGATAGTTTCTACACTCACTAAGGTACGTAACCTTAGTTTTACAAGGATAAGTGTCTAAGTGCTTGTTTACTCTCGTGGACAGGATGGACTGTTTGTAACACTTACTAAGATAAGTTATCTTAGTTTTCAACATAGATATACAGGAAATTCTTTGAGAGAATATAGCTTGTACTCTTTCACTTTCTTTTTCTTGATGCTCATTTTCTCTACTTCTTAGTTCTCTGTCTTCTTCTTCTTCTCTTTGATACTTATAGCCATTTGATAAATTTTTCCGTTTTTTGATTTCAAATTTTTCCGTTGGAGCGTAGCTTTATGTCGTTGCAAATGGAGACTTATTCATGACTATGTAAATCTTCTCATTTAATGCATTTGATCTTGCATTAAATGTTTGCTTGTATTCGTGGAGTCTCTCTGTGTAGTTGATTACTTGAATATCTGACTACAATCATGTTCTAGGTATACTTGTACTTTCCTCATCAGTTTAGCTGCTGAGGTGCTGTCTTTTTCTGAAAAGTAGGTGTCCTATCTTTGACGCACTCAACTTTTGACTTGTGAATGCATGCTTGCCTATTTTCCTTCTTTTTGTATTCACGTTGATATTTTCTTGTGTTTCTTGTATGATTTCTTTCAATGTGATTAGTGGACTTCAAACGTACTTTAGTATTTTTGACTACGTCTGGTTACATGATGCTTCGTCTAACTTTGACTACCCTTTTCGTCTGGGCATAAGGGTGATAACTTTGTCTTCTAGTTGGTTCTATCTGATGATCACTTTATGTTGACATCTGGTCAACATGCGTCTGATGCCTCAGGCTTCCACTGATAGACTTGTCTTTGTCTTGTATTTTGATTTGTGTCTGAATCGACCTTAGTCTTGATACTAGCTTTGCTATTGTCTAATGTTTTGTCCAGCTAGATTATGCTTGATCATACTTCTTTGCTTGAACTTACTGTTATTTCTTGGAAGAATATCAATCCTCTCCAAGTACTTCCATCACTTCCTGATGCTAATGTTGTTGCTCTGATGATTCCCTTTCCTCGACATCAAAGTCGAAGTCGAAGATGTCCATGGTGAGCTCCCTCCTAAGGACATAGCTATCCCCCTTGTGCTGGATCATCTTCATGTTAAGCAAAGATGCAATGCCATATGAGCTTTGGAGCTGGGCCCTTATCATCACTCTCCTTAGTGGCCCCATGATGTCTGGCCAGCTGGGTGAGTAAAGATCCAACCATGATATAGCCTGAGCGCCTGTAGATGCCTTCCTTGCTGCCATAGTCATCTACATGTCTTAGGAAGAAATCATTAGGATTGATTAAACCTAAAGGTGACACCCACAATTGGGGTGGGAAGGGCAACAAAGTCCAAGAAACTATGTCCTAAGTTTATTAGACCTTATTAAATCCTTTAGTGAGTAGGACCGGTTTGAGACCTTATTAAATAAATGATGAATGATGATGATGATAATGATGATGATGATAGTGGTGGTGGTGGTGGTGGTGGTGGTGGTGGTGGTGGTGGTGTATGTGTGTGACTTCTATCAAATATTACATTGATTAAAAACTTTTCATTGAATGATTTATTTTTCAAAACACATTATTATATTGGAAGTTTCTTTCTCCTAGATCATATATATATAATTATATACTTATCTAAAATTGTTTGATACCACATTTATATAAATCAAAATTGACGTAATATATACATTTTAAAATATACTAAGATACGAACAATGTGATTGTCTTCTTATAGTTGTTCAATTTTAACAAAATTTGACTTAAAAATTCAAGATAATATACAGTTGTAATTTAATGGTTGGATCGACAAAATTTATTTTTTATATAAAGTTGATGAATGGTAGTTGTAAAAGTTATACTGGTGTAATTTGATTTATCCCTTATATATGTCTCTGTGTGTTTGTGTAGATGCTTGTATATTGTTGGATGTGGTGTTGTTGACACGAGGCTCTTGTGTATATACTTGAGATGTGTGTGCTTAGCCATGTTTTTAAATGCTCAATTGTATAGTTATTCTTTTGTATATGTACAAAGACTTTTATATTCTAGGGCTTAATGATCTCAAGTATATACATAGTATATGTGCATGACTTTTAGGTTTTTAATACATGATAAAGTTGTGATAATGTTTTTTTTCCTCACTGTATATTGTTTGTTGTTAATGCATCATTATGTCAATATTTAATCTGTCGGTCATTAAACAACTAGTGATTTATTGATTTTATTAATAACCTACCAATGTAATACCCTAATCGAGTCATTAACTAGTCTAGTTTTAATAAAATTGGTAAACACTAATTTAGTCTTTAAATTTAGAAGACGTTGACATATTAACCATTAAAACTTATTAATTATAAAATTTGTCCCTAAATATGTAACAAGTTTTTAAATTTAATTACTTATTATTATTTTAGTACCTAAATATATATTAATATTATTTTTAGTTACATTTATTTTTAATCTTGAACTATTGCACGCTCAAAGAATAGTTTTATAATTTCTTAATTTATTAGACAAATAGGACAATGTCTTCTAAATCTAAAGATCAAAGTGAGTATTTATTAAAAATAATAGTAAAGATAACCAAAACTCTAACTATACCTTTATACAATAGCTTCAAATTCAAACTATTGCACTCACAAATTTTTGGTAGAAACAACAATAATTTCAACACTATTATAAAAAGTAAATAACAAAATACACTAAAAATCATGTAAAAAAGATATGGGTCAATTTAGTACTTTCAAGTTGGATTCTTATTTAGTTAAACTAATATATAATCAATAAAAATTATATCTATTGAATGTAAATTAATTCTTATTATTAATTTTAAGACGTAGATTATATATATATATA